TTTATTAAATTTTAGTTTAACATTAACATAGTCAAATTGTAATCAAGGTATTTGATCAGACTTTTTAAATAAACAAGTTGAAACAAACTCAAATTTATCTTGCACTAACTCCACAATACAATATTTTTATAACATATCAATTTAGCTCTTTATCACATAATTTTCTAATAATTTTAGGGTAGGGTGGGGTTATAGGTTACGGTCGTATAGCCTCAGGGTATGGGTGGCTGGTAGGGGTGTTAATCGTGTTGTGTTCGTGTGATCCACCTATTGTATTATTCGTATCGTATCATTGTTATTCGTATTTGTATCAAGATCCACAAAAAAAATATATTTAATAAATTCTGAGTATTAAATATTAGTCAAAATTATTTATTATACGTATTTAATAATCGTGTCAATTTTATAATCGTTCGTGTCGGGTTCATATCAACGGATCAGAACTGACACCTCTACTGACAGTTAAGGACGGAGCCATCCATGGCCTAGAGTGGGCACATTCCCACCCTTAAATTTTTTTTTCATGTTCAATATGTATTTTTTGAAATAAAATTTAGACATATTTAATAATGTATTGTGTGTGGTTGAGTAGAAGTAAATGATTTGATACCTTGTTAAGGCTACTGATGGGGTTTACTGGGATATCCAGTCAAAGTTTCTAGACTCTGGGGATTTGAACAACGGATTTTGAAGTTAATTAGCTACAAATCAAAGACTAACAGTTCAAGAATTTATAGTGATTCTCCAGTTCTAAAGATTGGCTAGTCCACTGTAATAGAGTCTCTTGATCCTTAAGAGTTTTCTATTAATTGGGAAAAGAAGGTTACAGAATTACACAAGATTAATGACACAAATGCATCCTTGCCCATAGTGCGAGGAATTTGATCCTTATTTATAGTATACAGTTGCATTGTATAATTTTCTTGCGTGATCTCTATGATCCTCCTGTAACCAATGTAATCTTTGCATAATCAACGTGATCCCCTTGGGGCCGTTACAATCCATGTACCAGAATATTTGATCGTTAGCAGTTATATTTCCTAAGCGTGATATGGCCTTCTGGAAGGTGTAAGTTTGTCGTTGTCACCATGTGCAAAGGATCACGTCAGTGATGATTTCCAACCTGTGCCTCCCAAGCTGATGATCATAATAAGCCGAGAGGTCCGAGTTTAGCCTTGACTAATTTTTGGTCTCATTAATATTAATTGTGTACACCTTATTATTATATTATAGTGATATCGATTTGGATAGACTCTTAGCTAAATGATTATTAACCTTCAAACAATGTTATTGAGACCTAATTTAAAAATCTAATGTATTGTGATATTAAACCTAATAGTAAGTCCTAATATTTAATAAATTTTTCTATCCATTCAATGGTCATAAATTATTGGGTCTTCTTCAATTAAATTTCAAATTAGATGTAACTAATAATAAATTTTTAAGTATTAAATATAATTTCAATAATATGAATTTATGAACATGTACGATCAATTGAAAAAAAAAAAATTAAAATGTGTTAATGTATCTATCCTAAAACTTTTTTTTGATGCCAACCCTAATGACAGTAACGGTAAAAAAATATTACAAATTTCGTAAATCCCTAAGTGTGACCGCTAGTTGGATATTAAATAATTAGTGTTTGGCCAAAAAAGATCTCTTGAGATAGAAAAGGACGAAAGCAAAATAAAAATAAAAGAAAAGAAGAGAAGAGAAATTACACATGTATCATATGATTAATTAAGAGAATACAAATATTAGGACAAAGTTGAGATCAGATGGCCAGTGATTTTGGTCGGTGGGATTGTGTTAATGATACTTTTAGAGTACATGTAAGGTAAAAGTTTATATATTAACATATTAAAGAGCATTTTCTAAACCTGTGTTAAGTCCTCGAGACAGAGGGATTTTGGATGTCATTCCCAATCGGGCCTTCTCAGAAATGAATGAAACTCTACCTGCCCAGCAGTGTCTGATGAAGAGATTAAAAGGGCCACAATGATGCAAGGGGCCCTTAAAGCTCCTGGTCCACATGGATATCCGGGGGTGTTTTACCAGAAATTTTGGAATAAAATTGGTTCGGATGTATGCGCTGTTGTCAGGAATTTTTTCGAAGAAAAGAAGCAGCGCCAAGATGTTGATAGAACGAACCTAGCCCTGATCCCGGTGGAAGCAAATCCTGAAAGCCTCTCTCAGTTTTGGCCTATAGCACTATATAACTTTGTGTACAAGATAGTTTCCAAGGTGTTGGCTAACAGACTAAAGAAAATCCTCCATCTCCTGGTGACGCCTAATTAAGCTGCTTTTGTTCCCCAAAGACATATCCAGCATAGCATTCTTGTTGCTAACGAAGCCTTTCATGCACTAAAGATAACAAAAGAGGCAAAACCCCTTCCATGGCCATCAAGCTTGATCTTAACAAAGCTTATGATCAGGTTGAATGAGATTTCTTGGAAGCTATTTTACAAAAAATGGGGTTTTCTTTGAGATGGATAAACCTTATTATGCAATGTGTTTGCACAGTTAAATTTGAGGTGATAATTAACGGGGAATCAAGGGGCGAGGTGATTCCTCAACGGGGGCTTCGTTAGGGCGATCCGCTGTCCCTTTATTTTTTTCTATTCGTTGCTGATGTCCTATCAAGAATGGTCCAGAAAGAGGTCTATGAGGGTCTATCAAACCATGGAAAATACACCGGAGGAGCCCCACACTATCTCACTTATTTTTTGCTGACGATTCTCTCTTTTTTCTCAGGGCCAGAGAGCAGGATGGGACCAGCCTGAAGTTGATCCTATGGACGTATTGTGAGGCGGCATGCCAACTTATTAATCTTAGCCAGTCTGGAATTCTCTTCTCATCAAATACATCAGCAGATTATCATGAGCCAACTTATGGAGATTGAAGCACTCCAAAATAATACCAAATACCTGGGTCTGCCTACCATATGGGGGAGATCAAAAGCTGAAACCTTCAATTATCTACTTAAGAGAATTATGAAGAAAATCCAAGGATGGAAGGAGGTCTATCTCTGCTAGGCGGGCAAAGAAATTCTTGTAAAATCGATAGTTCAAGCAATTCCTAATTTCGCTATGTTGTGACTAATTTTCCCACAAAAGTTATGCGATAAATTGACACAGTGTGTGCGACGTTTCTGGTGGGGTCAAAATTCAAAGACTAGTGGAATCCCTTGGAAATGTTGGGATGGTATGACTTTATCTAAAGCTTCAAGGGGCATGGGGTTCAAAGATTTCCACTGCTTTAATTTGGCATTATTGGCTAAGCAGTGTTGGCGATTAATACAGAACCCGAATTCCTTTTGGGGCTCGAATCATGAAGTTGATTTATTTTCCTAATTCGGACTTTATGGAGGCTAGAAGAGGAGCAAGACTATCTTGGATGTGGAGCAACCTCTTGAGGGCAAGAAAGTTGTTGTCCAAAGGCCTTAGATGGCAGGTGAGTAATGGGGAACAAATTAATTTTGGAACGATAGATGGATCCCGACTTTGCCTAGGTTTTCAGTTACTTCGTCCAAGCCCTTGAATTGCAACATCGAGTATGTTAAGGATGTAATAAATCAGGCATCAAAGGTTTGGGATATGACTGCTCTCCGGAAGCTTACCAGTGCAAAGGAACAGCGAGCTATCATGTCTATACCTGTCTCGAAAATGAATGGAGCGAACAAGAGGATATGACACTTCAATTCGAGGGGCCAATACACAGTAAAATCAGGCTATAAGGAGGCGAGAAAAAGGAAGAACCCTACTGTTCTTCAGGGGAGTAGTTCCGCTTCATTGTTACATCCTAATTTACAGAACATTATCTCGAGCTTGAAGACAACACCCAGGGCAAGACACTTTGGGTGGAGGTTATGTTCTAATGCTCTCGCTACAAAAGGGAACCTTTTTAGAAGAAAATGCAGTCCTTCCCCACTTTGCCAGATTTGTGGAAACAAAGTTGATACCACATAACATCTTTATTTGGTTGTGAATGGACACACAAAGTTTGGTTTGGGTTGCACTTGACTTTAAGAATGGAAAATCAGAATATAATATCTGCGAAGTTTTGGACATCCAATTTAATAGAGAATTTGAATACATTTCAACAAGCGGTGGGGGTGCAGCTCGTTTGCGGTTTAATGAAATGGCGCAGTTTCATTTTTTTTTTTTTTGCTTTTTGTTTTTTTTTTATTTTCCCTTACCAAAACAATGTCGTTTTGGTCCAGCCAAATCAGCATCAGACCATTCTTCTTCGTTAGTCTTCGTTCCAAGCCAAAAATTCAGATCCTTCGTTCCTACATCAGCATTTTCTTCTTTGTTAGACTTCGTTCTAGGCCAAAAAATTAGATCCTTCGTTCCTACCTCCAGTCAAAAACCAAATCCTTTCTATCCTCCTAACTCCAGCCAAAAACCAGTTCCTTCTTTCCCTCTCTCGCTAATCGCTGAGGAGTACCAAGGTATGTGCTGCTATTTTGGGTTATTGGTCTTGCGAAAAAAAGACCTAATTTCATATTTTTTTATTCATTGATTTCTAATTTTTTTTACTACCTGATTTCAAATTTGGTAAAATTTCAGATTTCATATAAACATTTCAGAATTTTTTACTACCTGATTGCAAATTTTGGATGACAAGTTTTGTTCATTCTGGAACAGTTGACACCCAACCAAGATGTATTGTTGTTGTCCCCCCTCCTCCCTCTCCCCTGGTTTTTTTTTTCCATCCTTCTCCCAATATATAGAATTAGAGTTGCTTGCTTGATTGAACTAACATGGTACACTTTTCCAGCATAAAATTGGAGTTGCTTGCTTGATTGAACTAACATGGCTTTTGCTTGCTTGTTTGGTCTTGGGATTGAACTAACATGGCTTTCATTCTGGAAAATCAACCTCTGTTGTTTGATATGGTTGATGAGTTGAGTAAAATGTGATTTAATTGATCATGGTGATAATTTATTACAGGGTAAATTGTATTCTACATCACTATGGTTTGAGTTTAGATAAAAACTAGTCCAAGTGAAGCATGTGTTCAGGGAATTTGCAAAAAAATGTAGCTGGTTTTGCATTTGGATGAGTGTAGGATGTAGTGATCATGTTTCTATAGGATGCATTTGGATGAGGGAATTCTGTAGCTGATTTTCTGGCCAGAATTGGATCGAGGTTTTTGTCATTAATGGAGTGATTGGTGTTGATGACTGTTCCAATTCTGTAACTGATTTTCTGGCTAGAATTGGTCCAATTCTGTAGTTGATTTTCTAGCCAGAATTGGATAGAGGTTTTTGTCATTGATGCTTTGATTGGTGTTGATGACTGGTCCAATTCTATAGCTGATTTTCTGGCTAGAATTGGATAGAGGTTTTTGTCATTGATGCTTTGATGGAGTGATTGGTGTTGATGACTGGGTGCAGCTGTGACAGAAGTTATTAGGTTTTAGTCATTTTGAAGGATTAAAGCCAACTCTGTGGATTTATAATTTTAAATTCCTTTGTGCTAAGACAGTTTGTGTTGGTGCAGTTTTTTATTCTTGTAATCTTTGATTATTCATGAAATAAAATTCTCTTTTCCAAACTGAGATGTGCCATTACAGAATTGCCTTCTCATTTGCTACAGTAATACAACACTCCCTTGTGAAAATATCATTATGTTGAATATCATTTTGATGAAGTTCATTATATGGCCTATACAAGTTACTATTTTATCTTCCTTTTTATATTTGTTGAAATACCACAACTGATTTGCAATATTCTGTGTATGTTTAACAACTTTCATCCATTACCTGATACCTAGTTCAAGCAATTCTACCTTGTTCAAGAATGACATCTTCAAGCACAGTAACAAGCAATGAAGAGTTAAGATATCGTAATATGTATTGCCCCGTTTGTACCAAAAGAGTGATTATCAAAGTTTCTGAATCTGAAAAAATCCTGGAAAGCTATACTGCAAATGTCCAGATGATTCTAGTCATTTTTTTAAGTGGATGACTCCTATTACTCTCCCCTCTTCGGAAATTAGAAATGAAAGGATGGATGTACGACGAATTGAAGACAATGTACGACGAATTGAACACAATGTAATGACATTGAAGTCAAATATGTTTGCAGTTACCTTGCTAGTGGTGATTATTATATTTGTGATTCTAGTGAAGTAGATCTGTAAGAGTAATGATGTAGTGATGAAACTTGTGCATTTAATTTGAATGAAATTATGGGTTTCGTATATTGTTGTGACTTGGAAGATCATATTTATTAAAAAAAAGATCATATTCATAAAAAAAATATCACATTCATTGAAAAGATCGCATTCATTAAAAATACAACAAGTATCCTTACTACTGCTAGTAGTCTCACTAAAAATAAATAGTTTTCAACAAAATAATCCAATAAAAATAAATGGTTCATTAAATGATCCAACAAGCTTATAACTGTTGATCCAACTAGTGGCCTCCATCCAAATAAATGATCCAACTAGTAGCCTCCATCTGCATCCTTATAACTGTTGATCCTCCAAACATCTTTACAAGTTGTATCCTCCATTCTTGAAAAATGATTCAACATCATTTAAAGAATGTACATGTGTTGAATTAGTCGGAGTACCCTACATAAATGAGAAGGAGTCAGACAAAGAAACTTGATACATAAGTCAAACAATAAAATTAACTATAAGGTAATATACCATAACACTTTGTACACTATTTGAAGCTTGGGAAGACATCGAATGACCATATGCTAATGTATATGGGTGACTGAAACCTTGTACCTAGAATAAAAAAAATACTTACAATTATGTTTATAAAAATATGAAGTGAATTAAAAAAATCTACAATTATTTTTATACGATACCGTAGACAAATGTGATGGTTGGGAAGCTCATTTTTTCTTCTTTGTTCTTTTCTCATGCCAAGATTTTAGTCGATCCCAATCCTTGTAACCACCTTCTTTTCTTTTTAAACCTTTTACTTGAAGAAGTGTTGGGTCAACATTTTCTATTCCACTTGGGTCAATATTTTCATGGATTGGGTCCACATTTTCATGGATTGAATCATCGCCACCATCACCAATTGATGCATACAAACTATCCACTTGTTTAAACAATTCCTCAACACCATGTGATACCAATTGATATGCAGGTTGAAGACCAGAGAATCGAGTAACTAGTTGTATCATTTTAGGACAAAATTGCCTGTAACGTGATGCCACCATTAACTTGGGATTCTCTTCATTTGACATTAAAATGGGGTTGTCCTACACCTCTTTTTTGCATCTCGTCTCCATCTTTTACATATGTATTGCTAAGAAATTTGCTTAATATTCATCATGTCTAAGACTTTAAGTGCATGACCACATAATATTCCCTCTATTTCAAACTTCTGACAACTACAATTGACTATCTCCTCATTAGCCTTAACTACGACCAAATACTCTCTATGTTCATTATATAATCGAACCACAAATTGATGACACCCATCCAACACATCACATAATGTCACAATAGCACACTGAAAGATATCATACTCATCTTGGAACAGCTCAAACATAGTAGGAGTGTACACTTGCCCAGCTTGCACTAACATTGGAGCTCTTTTTAACTTCAATCTGGATAATTTTTGCCTAGCTTGGTACTCTGAGTCTGACTCCTTATATCGGTTATCATTCACAATTCTTTCAAAATGTACAAAGAACTGAACAATGTCATGGTCTGACTTTAAGTACTTCCGTAAGGCTACATTCAAGCTCTCACTCAATTGGGTGTTTCTTATTCCTACAGTGAAAGTCCTTTTCATATACACATGCCCCCATTTCTCTTGCAATGCCCAAGTGACTTTCATCCACATATTATCATACAAATTATACTCCGCAAGCAACGAATCCCAAGCCTCAACTAATTCATGCTCATTTGCATATCCATACACACATTCTTTAAATCGAGTAGGAAAATATGAATCATCCTTATATATGTTTCCCAAATATTTTAAAGCATTTTGACAAAGGTGCCAAGTATATAACTCATGGTATGTCTCTGGCATAACTATATAAATAGCCTTAGTCATAACTTGATCTTGGTCGGTGAAGATGGTAATATGATATTTTTCAGACATAGCTTGTAGGAATGTCTCAAACAACCACTGAAATAATGCTGTCGTTTCATCATGCAATAATGCAGCTCCAAATAAGACTGTTTTCCTGAAATGATTGAAGCCAGTAAAACAAGCAAATGGTCGATACTCCTTGTTCGTTCTAAAAGTAGTGTCAAATGAGACAACATCTCCAAAGTTGCCATAGTCCATAATTATCATTGGGTCGACCCAAAAAATATTAGTAATATGCTTTTCCGCATCTAATTGCACTCCATAATAGAATGATGGATTTTTCACTACTTCCGTTTGAAAATACTTCAACAAATTACCTGCCTCACCATATCTCAAGTCTCGTTGTCTCCTTTCATGGAAGTAATTCTTTTGGTCAAGACGAGTAAAACTAAGACTTTTCTTTCCTCCAGACTGAGTACTTAAAAGATCATAGGAAGCCTTAAGTGACAATTCACAATTTGCTGTCATATCAATATTAATGTCTTGTAATTCGGTAACCTTCCGTTGGGATGACATCATATACATACATTTAGCAAGGTGCAAAGGATGGTTGTGGTTGTCGTCCCACTTCATCACAACAAATTTACCAATTTCTCTATTAAGAAATATGCACATATGAGCTTGGAAATTTGTTCTTGTCTCTGCTCGAGACTTCCTTATTTGGCCCTTTCTTTTATCACGACCCCTATGACATTGTTTATAACAAACATATTTTCTGTAAATGATAACGCCATCTTTCAAGCTTTTATTCTGAAAATTTTTTCTCACGCTAAATCCCATAGACCCTCCATAACTATTGTAAAATGCATAAACATCTTCCTCCGTGTCAAATTGCATACCAATATGAGGTATATTATCAGTCGCATTAACTCCCAAATCATCCATCATTGTATCCTATGAGTAAAATTAAAATTAAAGTGAGACATAAATTATTTCCAAGATAAATAACTGAAACCGTACATACCAATATAGAAGCTTATATAAGCGTCATTATTGAACAATAGACATGAAGAAAATAATATTTGGAACTCTTCTTAGATTTGAAACAGATTCTACTTGTTCCTCATTTTGATTTCCAGGATACAAATCAATAAAAAAATTTCTTCTAACAAAAACCAAAAAAAGAATTATCAAATCCACACTTGATATGTGAATGCAATTTGATAATTATTCTAAAAACCATGACATACTTAAACAACACCTTGAGCCAAAAAGAATAGTATGCCGAACAATGATCTGTTACAAACAATTTTCATACATCAACAATTGTGTGTTACACTAGATATATCAACAATTGTGTGGAGACAATCCTGCAAAGGGAAATAGTCACACTAGATAGCTTCCAGCAAACTGTTCTTCACTAGCCTAATGTTGTACAAAGGATTTTTATGTAACTTCAATGTTACCTTTTAATTGATTCTTACTGATAATTCTTGATTCAACTAACACACTAGCTACATTCCGGGCAAAATTTGAGTCATTAGGTACTCTGAAACAGAAATCAAATTTTAGCATTGCTAACACAAAAGCAAATCGCATCACCAAATGTTGACACGAAAAACATCATTTACCACATGCATCAGCCATATAAATGCTAAAATATGCATGGAATAGATAACATGGGAAGAATAAATGTGATCCTATGGCCGGGAAAATATTGGAAATAAAAAGAGTGGACAAGGAATGAAAACCTTAGGATTATCAAGTTTTCATCTTGCAGGATTGACACAAGGAAGAAGAAGGCAGGAGAAGCAGAAAGCGGGGGAAAGAGAGAGATTTCAGATCTAGGAGCAGAACCAAAAACAGCGTCATTTTTGGTTAGGGTGAATACAAAAAAAATTCCAAAAAATAAGTGGAATGATGCCGTTTCACTTAACCGCATGAAATGCGGTTTTCTCCCAACAACAGAGTATTTGCTCTCCAAGCGGTGGAGGCTCTTAAGTTGGTATATTTGGAAGATGAGGAATGAAACTATTTTTCAATCTGCTCTTCCCAATCCATCAGTCGCACTAAAAAGGGCACAATTCTATTGGGAAGAGATCATCTCTCTGCACTCTGTTCGAAATCATCAGTCCCACTCCCCAACTCAGGACCTTTCATCCTTGGATTGCTGGTCTAGACCTTCCATAGGCTTGGTGAAAGTGAATTGTGATGGATCCTTTAATGAAAAGACGAAGCAAGCAGCTATAGGCGTGATCACTAGGGACTATACAAGAGCAATTTTAGATGGAATAGCCCTGCAGTCTCCTTTCATTTTTAGTCTTTTTTCGAAAGCATTGGCCTTGCGAGAAGCGTGTTTTTGGCTTTCAACATTACATATGTCTGAGACTATTGTGGTGAGTGACTCTCAGGTTCTCATCTCACTGTGTACTGGAGAAGATGCTCCCCCGTAGGAGGTTGCAACTTTGGTGGAAGATATTAGAGTAATTTCAAGAAACCTTAGTCTTAGGCTGGTTTATAACCTTCATACAGCTAATAAGGTAGCCCATTGGGTGGCCAAAGCGAGGATGACCCTCTCACTTTGGGAAAGCTGAGTTTTTAATCCACCTATGAATTTGAGACGTATCCTTTCTAATAATTGTAAGTATAATTCGATTTTGTAATGAAATTTTTATTTTCAAGCTAAAAAAAAGGTTATATATACTATAATATAATAAAGATTTATGCTATATTAAATGGTCGATTCTGATTGATTTGCTTTCTATTTTTTAATTACTTCTACTTCTCTCATTTG